GTAAAGAGTAACCAATTTAATTGAAGTAAAGGGTAACCAGAGTAATTTAAGTAAAGAGTAACCAATTTAATTGAAGTAAAGGGTAACCAGAGTAATTTAAGTAAAGGGTAACCAGAGTAATTTAAGTAAAGAGTAACCAATTTAATTTAAGTAAAGAGTAACCAGGGTAATTTAAGTAAAGAGTAACCAATTTAATTTAAGTAAAGAGTAACCAATTTAATTAAGTAAAGAGTAACCAATTTAATTTAAGTAAAGAGTAACCAGGGTAATTTAAGTAAAGAGTAACCAATTTAATTAAGTAAAGAGTAACCAATTTAATTTAAGTAAAGAGTAACCAGGGTAATTTAAGTAAAGAGTAACCAATTTAATTTAAGTAAATTAAATAAAACATTCATATTTATGTAGCTCCCCCTGCAGTGTTACAATAAAATGATGATTTCTTGACTTTTCATTGGTTGTTATGTGAGCAGCCATACAATTGTTTAAACATCCAAAATTCATTTCACATTTAATCCCATTGCATCTATATTTTAAACATTTTTCTGAAAGGGGGTGGTATGTCCCCAGATCCCCGTAGCATTAGCATGTTTTGTATGCTGATTGTGCTTTGCACAATATGTGTTGACTTTTGATCTCATAAATTAGAACCCCTTTTCAAAAATTCTGCGTAAGGACCTGTACTAGTACTACTGTTTTACTCAACAGGCCTGTACTAGTACTACTGATTTTACTCAATAGGCCTGTACTAGTACTACTGATTTTACTCAACAGGCCTGAACTAGTGCTACTGATTTTACTCAACAGGCCTGTACTAGTACTACTGGTTTTACTTAACAGGCTCGTATTAGTACTACTGATTTTACTCAACAGGCCTGTACTAGTACTACTGACAGGCCTGTTGAATAAAAAAAATCATAGTACTAGTAGAGGTTACTAACTATGGTAAATAAAAATGGTCAATCATATCATTTCAGAGGTTACTATCTATGGTAAATAAAAACGGTCAATCATATCATTTCAGAGGTTACTAACTATGGTAAATAAAAATGGTCAATCATAAATAAATAAAGTCCCTGGAGTGAAATGATACGATTGGCCGTTTTTATTTACCATAATTAGTAACCTCTGAAATGATACGATTGACCGTTTTTATTTACCATAGATAGTAACCTCTGAAATGATATGATTGACCATTTTTATTTAACATATATAGTAACCTCTGAAATGATATGATTGACCGTTTTTACTTACCGTAATCAGAACTTTCTGCAATGATAGCAGTTGTTCTCCAATTGAATGTAATCATAAGAGTGCTGAGGGCCATCATCTGGAATCTGTCGGGAGGCGTCATTTTGATTAAGGTAGGGTAAGGAGATTGACCAATAGGGTTAAAAGACAAGGTAGGGTCTGTAGCGGTGGGAGCAAAGTGTGGCACATGAAGATTTCCTATTGGTGCATGTGTGACTTTAGTGTGTGAAGAGGAGCTTGGTCCGATGATAACGACCACATTCTGTTCCAAGAGGTAACAAGCTATTAAAAGATGGAAAAGTAAAGTAAAATAGCGTCCCCTACCGGAGGCAGAAAAAATCTAAAGCTCTAATTTTTCAAGAAAAAAGTGAAATGTCGTAGACACCTGTATTGTGTACTACAATTTAATTCTAGCGGATGTTAGTAGAAACACCCAAACCTTTTTTTTTTTTGGAAGAAATAAAATGGAAGATTATACATATTTATCCTGTTTAGTATACTTTAATTTAAATATATATCAATTATAATTTGCCCTAACAATAAAATTTACTCTCTACTGGTTTCCTTGTAGTAGACCTCCAGTGGCACAGCGTTATGTCTGCGGACTTATATCACTAGAAACCGGGTTTCGATACCTCTGATGAGCAGAGCACAGATAGCCCTTTGTGTAGCTTTGTGCTTAGTAACAAACAACAACAATCCTTGTAGTAAATAGCACTAACCATAGCTAGTATATAACAATAACACATCAATACTACTAACCCTAGTTAGTATGTAACAATAACACATCAGTACCCCTAACCCTAGTTAGTATGTAACAATAACACATCAGTACCCCTAACCCTAGTTAGTATGTAACAATAACACATCAGTACCACTAACCCCAGTTAGTATGTAACAATAACACATCAGTACCACTAACCCTAGTTAGTATGTAACAATAACAGATCAGTACCACTAACCCTAGTTAGTATGAAGGTAAAACACCTCAGTACCACTAACCCTAGTTAGTATGAAGGTAAAACACCTCAGTAGCGTTATTTCTATATCACAACAGTCATGCCTCCTCTTTCTTGAAACTATATCACTCAAAACCCAAACACTTCTACTCTGTATTAATTCATGTGTACCGAAATTCTTATCTCTATTAAAACATCAAATATACCAGTTGGGAAAATTAATATTGCTGAAAAAAACTAAACCCATAGTGAATATAAATACCTAACACTATTACAAGCAGAGAGTTAGATTTTGTCCCCCAGTGGCAATGCTAGAAACCGTGTTTCGATACCCCTGGTGGGCAGAGCACAGATAGCCCATTGAGCGCCTTTGTGCTTAATTACAAGCAAACAAACATTGATTTATAAAACTTGGTAGTAGAGTTTCATTGTTAAATCTAAATAAGGTTAGAGCTGCTGATTGATTAATCCAAAGTAAAAACATCAAACGTTCGCGTCACCTTTAAGCGAATATTATATACTCTTTGTAATAGCTCCAGTGTTTAACTTTCAAAATGTATTGCTATTTAAAAAAGTTGTTTGCAGAAAAAGTAGCAAATTTTTAAAAACTTGTGTTTTTACTCTTTTGTAGAAAGTTGAAATTGGAGCCGTCCGTTGTAGTGCTGACTAGTTCTATATGTGTATCCGGAAGTATTGACGGATCATTATTAACATCTTCTACTGCTTGTTCCGCCGCACGAAGGCGCCACGTGTTGCTTGCTCGAAATATGCTACCTGTGAAATGGAGAATAGTAATATTATATATCACATGGTTATAAAACATACAAATACAGAGACACCTAACGGTAAAAGTAATGTTTCTATTGTCTTCTATTAATATTCAATATCTGATACTCGAACCTCAGAATTCGTAAAAAAATATTCACCAGAGTTTAAAGGTACATTTACTTTACCTTACATATCCAACGACAGCCTAAACCCTGTACTTGTAGTATTAGTATTCTCCTGTCACTGTGTGTTTAAAATAACGTAAAACGTGTAGACAGAACTTAAATAAATCAACCCCATCTATCTATTAGTCTTACCGATTCTAATGTTTGAAGGATTGGCTTAATCACGAGGTTAATGAAAACAAAGCATCCAATAGTAATTAGATATTTCACAACCATATCTGTCTACGACTGTCCACCTGTACAGAAGAAAATTATGATTGCACAGTTTCAGCAGGTTTAGACTGTACCCAATTCTTCTCTGGCGGAGTTAAACTGTGTGCAGGTCCTCCCTGGTGAAGACTGTTCATAGGAGTTACACTGTATGTAAGTCCTCTGTAGCTGAGTTAGACTGTTTGTAGGTCCTCTCTGAAAGTCATACTGTACGTAAATCAACACTTGTTATTGGAATTAAACTTTCTTCGTTGAATGCTGGCTGATTTGTATGCTTTAAGGAGAAATGAAAGTGGTTCATCCGACAGAGGGCGCTAATGGCTCCTTTGAACACGCCCCTTTTAAAAGCAATAAAGAACAATTGATATCTCAAAGGTTTTGTCTTGTTCTTCGCCTATTTATATAAATGTTCCATATATAATCAAGTGTAAAGTAACGATCACGTTTAACAAAACTTATGAGACTCGCGCGTGACTAATACTCATTAATAGTCAACAGAAGCTGAAAAAAGACACGTTGTTGTGCCTTAGAAACTGACATCATGACAATAGAATAGTAGCGTTCAATATCTTATATCGTTTTATGCCTATTATAACGAATAGTTCATGCTATATAGCTATTAGTACTGACTCAGTAATCAATTAATCCACCACTAGGTGGCGCTACTACGCGTGTTTTCTTATTAGTATTTAGCTTTGTTTGCTGTAATTAAGCACAAAGCTACACAATGGGCTATCTGTGCTCCGTCCACCACGAGTATCGAAACCCGGATTCTAGCGTTGTAAGTCCGCAGACATACCGCTGTGCCACTGGGGGGCCAGTATTTAGCAACTGGTACATTTCAACATTTTTAGTGCTTTAAAACACTTTTTTTTTCTTTGTTCAATTTCTAAAACTTTCTTTTAAAGTGAGGTAACAAAAATGTAACAGTTACTCGGAATTGTTGAAATTTTAGAAATGTTTGGTAGCAAACTAACACTTTAAATAAAGTGTTCAGTTAATCAATGAAATAGCACTTTAAATAAAATGTTCAGTTTAATCAATGAAATAGCACTTTCAATAAAGTGTTTAGTTTAATCAATGAAATAGCACTTTCAATAAAGTGTTTAGTTTAATCAACAAACTAACACTTTAAATAAAATGTTCAATTTAATCAATAAAATAGCACTTTCAATAAAGTGTTTAGTTTAATTAACAAAGTAACACTTTAAATAAAGTGTTTAGTTTAATCAACAAAGTAACACTTTAAATAAAATGTTCAGTTTAATTAACAAAGTAACACTTTAAATAATATGTTTAGTTTAATCAATGAACTGGCACTATAAATAAAGTGTTCAGTTTATATGGTTTTATTTGATATTGTTTATATGGTTTTATTTGATATTG